AGTACATGACGAAAACAGAGATGTATAATACGTATACTTGCATAAGCCTCAGCAAGCCAGACAATCTTCGTCATCAGTAAATCTGACGGTAATTCCAGATGTATAGCTAATCATCATTGGCTTACATACAGATCACAGGACAGTGTAAGGTTGTAAATATACCTGCCTAGAGCAAACAATTTTAAAGACCACAAGATACCAAAAAACGATATTAAAAGGCAAAATCAAAGAGTATCATCAGAAAAGAATTGCCTTCTCACTCACAGAGCTACCAGCACTGTGTCAGAAGGTGTCCTAAGATAGTTTCGAGGTTTCATCATCTGATACAATGACAGTTCAACACCACAAAAAATCAGAACAGCGAGAGACGATTCAGCACAAAAAATCAGGATTCAGATTCAGAGATGTCCGTGCATCACTCGCTCGGCAGAAGCCGGCCTCGGATCAAGTGTTGGATTATGCATCAGTTGATCTTCACTATCCAAAATCAAATTACGGAGCAAGAAAAACAACAAAAAAAAGATTGGAGGGGATCTGTAGTTACTCAGGGGTGGCAATATGGTTATTGGTTCGATTCTGCCAGCGAGTGTCCTCAATGCTTTCAGAAGAGGGAGCTTGGTATCCTCATCGCAACAGTCTGTTCCACGCTCCAATGGGGAAAAAAAGGCAAACAAAAAAAGAAATCTCCCGGAGAAAATATTTCGAATCGAATAGCAAATAAACAAGAGACCCAAATAGAGAAATTAGATGGCTCGGTTCAGCGGGAAAATCGGCATACAGATTAACTCGTGTAGAGAGAGACCTGTGATTCGGTCTGTTGAGCTTGAATATTACCGAGTCGTCACTGCCATCCATCTCACTTGACACAAAGAACAGATTACGAAAAGAAAGCAAGATGCATCAACGATCTGAAGGTGTTCTAAACGTAGAGCGTTGCAGATCTGGCTTGGCGTCGGATGGATTGAGGCGAGGTGCTCTACCTAAAGCTCGGCGGCGATGCGGGGATTCCAGTAGAGGCGGCGTTTATATGGAGGGGATTGGTGAATTAGGGTTTGAGCAGGAGGTGTAGTGGATGGGCCGTGGCGGATGAGTGGGCTAATCCGTGGCCGTGGGCTTTCCACAGGCTATGCTTCGGCTTGGTGACCTGGTGGGTTTGGACTAGCCCACAGATGGCCTGCACTCTCCCGCACGGCCCTCACCTCACTGCGCCGACCGTCTGCAGCCAGCCGCCTCAGCCGCGCCGTCAGCCTGCATGTCCCCCTCTTTTGCAGTCGCCGGTCGTCGGCAGCCCGCCAGCCCGGCCGTGGTCGCCATCGCAGACCTTAAGCGGGAGCGACGCCTGCTGACGAGGCGGTGTCTGCTGGCGAGGCGGCGCCAAGCATGTAGCTCCCCAGCGAGACGGCATGGCCCGCGCGTGCGAGCCGAGCACGGCGTCGCACGGGCGTAGGCCCCAGGGTAGCCAGACACTGCGGAGGCGCGGACCCCAAGCGCAGGCGCCAGCCATCAGCGAGGCGGCGCGGCCGTGCGGCCCGCGCAGGCGACCTGACCGCGGCGTCGCATGAGCGTGGTCCCCTGGAGCAACTAGACGCGGCCGCCGCCCACCGGCGAGGCGCCGTAGCGAACCGACCACATCACGGATTCACGGCACGGATGTACAGGACCCCCGCGTGAGGCGGACGCCACCGCAACCGCGTGCCACCGGCGTGGGCATGGGCCACCGACGAGAGTCACGAGACGGTGTCGGCGAGACGCGTGTTGCTATCCATCGCCCTCGTTGATCCCTGAGCAATGTGCAAAAACAGCGACGCCCTTGCCTTGTTTGGAATGGAGTTTTTTCACGGGAATTTCAAAGGATCGCTCTTCCTCCATTTTGCTGACGTCGTTTGGATCGAAGGAAAGGACGATCCTCCCGTTCCGGAGGAAAGTTTTGCTTTCCTAAACAAAACATAGGAATAAAAACATCCACTGCAATCCAAAGTTTTTCGTTGATGGCCGAGGCAAGCACACGGTGAAGAGAGAGAGGATGAGGGTGGGAGACAGTCAGAGAGAGAGGCGTCGCTGTGCAACCGGCAATATAGAAAGGTACATAGTACTTCCAAATAAAAAATACATTAAAATGTAGAAAGGTACTAGCTGTGAACCGGCCAACTAAAATATTATGCCCAAATGTACTAAAAAGATGAAGTTAATCAATCAGTATTAAGCACTAATATGTTTCTTATCTTATGCATGTTTCAAGTTGCTGTGGCTGGAATTCCTGTGTTTCAAACACCTCTTCTTATATATTCCTGTATTTTTCCAATCCTCTATATTGATACTACACCTTTATCACAATCCTATGTTTTTTCTCATTCCTCTGTTTTATATTCCTTTGTTCCACACATGCCCTAAGCCAAGAGCTCCCCTTTCCGCTTGCTGCAGTGCAGCTGTAGTGCTTGATGAAATGTCCATGTCGGCAGTTCGACATTTACACTTCCGTGCGAGCACTCTGATGCGGTTTCCATTGTATGGTTATGATGCATTATTGTATTTGGTTCACTTAACACCTGAACAAGTAATTATGCAAATTAGAAATGATGATGATTACTTAAACCTTCTAGACAAACTTCTGTTGCAAAAGTATTCTAGAATAGCTTGTTGTACATAAGTGATTGAGTACTTACTCCCATCCCAGTGTTCTTGATTATAGCAGACATGCAAAGTTAATCTTGATTTCTGTGATTTTTGTTCTAATTTTGGGATCTGATAGTCTTTATTATGTTTAACTGTAGCAACTTAAATGCCCTAGCAAGCTTTTGATCGGCTGTAAAAAATCTGAATTGTGGATTTATTTAATGTGAAAGTATATATGATTTTGATTTGGTTGTAGAATTTACAAAATTTTGAGTATGATAGATGGATTAACCTGATGTGAATGGAGAAAAAGCCATGCAGTAATGTTATTGTCATGGCTCCTCTATTCCATTAACTGAACAAAGCACAAAAATATATACATCCTTGTGACTTATATCTGGGTGAAAAACAAAACAATAAATACATTCAATTTATTTCATTTGCACTCTTTTGTTACTGAACTGATAAACCATTTCTTCCCCTCACCCACAACCACAAGATCATCTTTGTTGGTTCAGTTCCGTCCTACATCCATATGCAACAATTGGCAATAATACCCTATGTAAAAATGGGAAAAGGTTCTTAGGACCTGAAGATCTGAATTCAACTGTCCCCAATCTCATCTCATCTTCTTAGGGACCGAAGCTCTGAATTCAAATGTCCCCAATCTCATCTCGTCATCTCTCCTCGATGATTTGTATGGAACAAACTCATTGACTTAACTTAGGATTGCATAGCTAGCCTCAGCTCTTATACTCCATTGCAGCTACCATGGTTTATAATTATCTATCTCTGATCAGGTAAAATATTGCTGACATATAAAACCAAGCTACAAAAGGTCAATGTACCGTGATGCATCCACTAGAAGGCTCCAAGCAGAGCGCGGCAAAGCCATGCCATTTTTTCTAGTGTTTTATGAATTTTCATAAGCTTTATAACGGCATACAACAAGTTGTCAAATGTTTATAATAACTTTTCAATTATGATTGTTTTATAGGTAGACGGCCATGGATATTTTTTTGTCTCACCATCCTTGTGCCAGATCTTTGTGTCTCTGTCAGACCCTTTGGCGCAATGTGAATGTTGGGCAAAGATGAACATCAGCGCCCATGTTGGTCTTTTTTTTCTTAAATACACAAAAGATTTACGTATCATTGTATTATCTCCCTACTATTGATGTTCTTGGCAAACGACGCGGCGTTCGTATACAACCATACATTGTGTATCTCACGGTCCTAGGGAAAACCAATTTTGCAATTTTGCGTAGCCTGACTTCTTTGCCCTCGTATAAGCATGATTATATGATGTAGCATCATAATAAAACTATTAAAGCATTAATTGGAAAAAAAACTATGTGCTATGTACTACCGAAACTAACATGTACATTGCCCGACCGTCCGACTTTTATATAACACATTCTCTCTCAATTGTTCTATCAATCTCTACAATAAGTCAGTTAGTCTATTACAATCATGCTCTGACGGATGGTTCGATAAGGATATCGGATAACCCGCTACAACTTAATACGACCAATCTGCAACATTCGAGGTGTCTACTTACCCCTGGACCTGGCCTCAGATATTAGTACGAACACACACACCCATTAACTATCCCAACCTTTCTCTCTGTAGCGAGAAAGAAGAAAAATCTCTAACACCCTGCTCCTTCCGCCCAAAAACAATACAATTCTGAATTATATTTTTTTGGATGGGGAATATGTTTTTATGTTAGGTTATTGTTGATAAGAAAAACATATTTTCCCCCTCAATTATATGCTTGCATGAGTCATAGCCAATCTTTTTTTTACTCTATCTGTTTTAAAATTCAGACGTAATATGTATCTATCTAGACATATAATAAAAGTTAGTATGTATGTAGAAAAGGTAGAATAACTTATAATTTTTATAATTTAGAATGGATGGAGTATCTGATTTCAAAGTTCCAACCTAATTTTTCTTTTTTAAAGGTAATATTTCTAGTGTCAGTGGCCGCCTGGGCGGTGGATGGAGGCGACGAGGCGTGCGTGTCCTCCAGCACTCTGCACTCCGGCACTCCGGCTCAAGTGCCCCGCCATCAGAATCCACTAATTCCTGATATTTTTTTTTTCTTCTCCTGTCGCAATCGCCATTTTTGCTAGAGAAAAGAAAAACAGGGCTCGAAAATACGAGCTCCACTACTCCTTGCTTCAGGCACGCTCATCTTCCCCGCTCCAGTGCTCCACCGATCAGGAATTTAGAAATCACAGCCACCGCCTGCTCCCTCCTCGATAAATCCAGCCTATTATCCAAACTGTCTCCCGTCTGATCCGTCGCCGTCGAGGAGTCGACTCGTCTATCCACAGGCATAAGAAGAAAAAAAAGTGTATCTAGCGGGGAGCGTCGCCGGCGATGCTCTGTTCCGGCCGCATGCTGGCCTGCAACGGCCTCTTGCCCGGTCGGCTCCGGCTGCCGAGAGCCGACGCCTACCGCCTGCGCCCACCAGCGCTCGCGCGGAGGTGGCGCGTCGCGGCCTCCGCTGCGGCGTCCGGCGGCTCCTCTGACCTCCCATCGTCGTCGTCTTCGCCGACTACCCCGCCGTTCGGGGTCGGGGACGACCAGGCCGCCGCATCACCTGGGTAAAAACATTTTCTGTAGGAACTAGGAAGTTGGTAATTTTTAGCTCTGCTGGTGAGCTGTGAGGCGTGAGCAAAACATGTTTGTTTCCGCTGGTCTTCCTGCGTGTGACTAATGAGTCGGTTTGTGATTGCCCGTGCGACGAATCTCGTTCAGGCATAGCTTCTCTATCCATCAAGAATACATGGACATGTTGGATCTCTGTTTGAAAGTAGGTTGATATGTTGGATCTAACTGACAAACTGCATGACCCCCCCGGATCGATCCGTTTATCTGAGGTGTGCCTTAGGCTGTGTTTAGTTCACGAAATGAAAATTTTTGAATGTCACATCGTATGTTTCGGGGATATCGGAAGGGGTTTTCGATATTAATAAAAAAACTAATTACATAGCTCGTCTGGAAACTGCAAGACAAATTTATTAAGCCAAATTAATTCATCATTACCGCATGTTAGTTACTGTAGCACTTATGGCTAATCATGGGCTAATTAGTCTTAAAACATTCGTCCCGCGATTTTTAACCAAACTGTATAATTAATTTTTTTTGTCTATATTTAATACTTCATACATGTGTCGTAAGAATCGATGCGATAGTTTGGAGTGAAAATTTTTAAAAACTAAACCGGGCCTTAGTCCAATAACTGCTGTAACGTGTGGAACATGCTTTGTAGATAATAGTATCGACAAAAGACTCACAGATAGGCCGAATCGCGAATTTGAATCGACGTTGTACGGCACGAATAGGATGAACTGAAGAAGAGTGCAGAGAGGTGTATGTTGTAAAGTAATAATTCGCGCGTCACTGTATACTACTAGAACTTCGTTTCATGACTTTCATCCAACACTAATGATTCAATCTCATGATGAATTTGGTCACGCATGTCATACGTGTATCTATAGCCACAAATGATGCTGACGAATGTCGATGCATTGATGCGCTTGGTGTTCCAGCCATGCAAGCCATGCAGTTGTAAGTTATCTTTGCAGACTATCTCGAGTTGGTGACGAGCGGCTCTTCGGTTTAGGGTTCCCGGTTCCTTCACCATTCAAACAGTGGAGCCCCGGTCTCTACTTTACTGCCAGTCTGCCACCACTCAGCCGAACTTCCAGTGATTGTTGCAGTTCACACATGTGACGAACGTAAACATTGGTTCATCAGCACTCTGAGTCTGCAACTGATAGTAAGTTGTCTTCCGCTGGCCATATCTGCCACACCTGAATTGATCCGTTGTTGCCTTTTGGTGCTGCTCTCCGCTCACAGTCAAACAGAATCTTCTCCTTGATCTGCATATATGTCTGAAAGCCTCACTGGCGTCACTTCGCTAATAAGAACCCTTCTCTGGAAATCAACGTTGTTTTCAGCCCTCAGGTTGAACATGATTGACGTGGAACATCGAAGCCTCTTAAATAGTGCAGACTCCACTGCCATAGCAACTCTGAATGGAGCTTGCATCACCTTCATCCAAGATGTTCTGCTAACTTTACATACTATCCCATATATTAGGTGTAGAGATTACTGGTCCCTTCGAAATCTAATTGATGGAGCAGTTTTTTTTTTTGAATAATGGAGCACTTTTGGTTATGAATCGTCTCAGATTAGAGTGATTGGGTCGAGTTTTGGCTAGCCGCAGTCGCGGGCCCTACCTATCAGCCGTGGCTCCCATCCGTCAGCCACTCGTTCACATCTCCGTCCTCCCGTTTCTTGCCTGCGCGGCCGCCCGTCCAACACAACTCTCCACGCCAGCGCCGCGAAGCGACGCCCTCCCCGTGCGTCCCCCCGGGCCACTTCGCTAGCGCCGCCCACTGCATCAGTAGCCGTTGAGCGCGGCGCTCGCCGCCGACTTCTCTCGCGGCCGCGTCGTGGACCCACGTCCCCACCGATTCGGCTGGGGTCCAACGGGGGGAAGGCAACCGATGGACGCGCTCATGGCGAGCTACGCGTCCGACTCCGACTCTGACGGCGGCGAGCCGGCTGCCGTCTCCGGAGGCGCCCCGGAGGTCCCGGAACCTTCGGCCTTGCTCCCACCTCCTCCCCTCGACCTCCTCCAGCCCCCCAACTTCGTAGGCATGATTCCTTGCGCTCCCATCTCTTTGAACCTTATATCTGATGATGTTCTTAGTGCTGACGGTATCTGCCTATCTGGGGACAATACGTGGTGCAGATTACTCGGCGATGGCGCAGGGGGGTCGTGTCCGGAGCTTCCCCCATGTGGAAGGCAACTATGTTGTACATGTTTATATCCCTGGTCTGCGCTTATGCTTGTTGGTCTTGCTACAAATGTTATTGTTCTTTGATGTTAATGTGCACTTAGAAATCGAGATCAAATATATATGATGTATCCTCTTAGCTATTATCTGGTTGCACGGTGTCGTTTCAAGGATTAGAATGAGCTTGTCAATAAAAACTTGGCAACCAACATAACATGTCTGGAAATAATTTCTCCGGTTCATTAGTGAAGGGGAAAAAAGATTATGCACATTTTTTTATTGAAACTGTGGCCATCATATGATCCTACTGCCCCAATGTTCGCCTGAATACTTGCAGAACTAGAATCACAACAATTTTTCAGTCTATAACTGCTCCTCACTTATATTTAGCTGTCTTATCTTATGCAGTCGTCATACCTTCTGATGCAAGGAAACAGCTGGCCCTTTCTATGAAAAGAGCTGCATCTCTTGTGCCGGATCTCTATGCTGTTGATGCAGACTATGCACTTTCTGAATTGTGCAAAGATGAACAGAAGCTTGAGAAAGTGCTTCTGAGCAGGGAGTTTCATGTAAGCTTGGGAAGACCTGTTGCAGTCCAGGTGCATCAGATTGACTCATTTGTTGCAATGCTTCGCCAGAAATTCCAGCCACAACAACGGTTAGTCATCTCTAAGAACTTCGCTGCTCCGTGACTACTAGTTTGTCCCCTCTGTGGACGCATTTTCCTGTACAGGGTTACAGTTGCCCAGTATTCTTTTTTGTACTTTTCAACCTTTGTGTCTCATTGTTACTGATGGAGATCTTTATACATGTGGAACAAAGGTACTGTATGGAGTTCAATAAATGGGAGCACTTTGTCAATGACGATTGTACACGGTCATTTCTTTCACTAGAAGTTACAAGAACTGGTTTGCCAGAGGTATTTACGGTACATGTTTGTGCCATCTTGTGTTTACATGCATTAAGGGTGAAGCGTCTGCCTATGTCTATGTCATATTGAATTTTCATAATGAGAACCTTTTGCATCTTGTGTTTACCCTCAGTTTTTTTTTGCAGATAAGGAAGCAGATACTTATGGTAGATGAAGTATATCGATTGCATGGTCTTCCTGAATTTTACACGGTAATGGATTTTGAGTTATGCATTATATTAGTGTTTAGGACGAGTGACAAGATGCTATGAAACATGATCGTTTCCTTGATTTCAAATTAATTCATTGAATTAGATAAATCGAGCACATAATTCATTCAATTAGATAAATCTAGCATCTTGCTTGTAAACAAAAGTTAGCCAATTCATTCATATGGTACTAAGGCCAATAGTATGCAAAAAAGAAGCTGGTGTCTTTGATGTAAGCTAATGCAATTGTTGATTTGGAATATCAGTACATGACTACATGAAGAAGTAATCAGTAATCTCTGTCAGATTAAAATGACTCTTCTAATTTTGTCACCAAATCTAAATGATATTATTTAACTGTCATTTGATCATTTGGCAGAATCCACGGCCACATATATCGTTGGTGTGGGCATTGGGTGATGTCAGCGGCAAACTAAAGCAGGCAATAAAGGACATTGAAAAATATCAGAGCAGTATGAGCTCATTGCAAAAATGTAATGTTCGATGCAAGTTCAGTCGTGTAGTTTGTAAAGTAGGTAAGAAGGTGTATGATATCTGTAAAGTTGCAGATTGAAACACACATGAACTACGTTCGATAAGCTTTGAGGTACTGACCTCTTGTGGTCTGGGCCAATTCTTGTGATTGGAACAGTGAAACACAAATTTATGCTCTTCTTCAGTACATGGCAGTTACTGCTAACTTTTCCCATGCAAATTACGAAATGATAAAGAGGTCTATTGAAACCTGGTAAGAGCTATGGGTACAAAAGACCAAATTGTGTGATTCTGCTACCTTTTTGAACTCTCCCCAACTATTCCTTCTACAGCACCCACTTCTCCTGAGTTCAGCTGAGCAAAAACAAATGGTTATAATAGCTGATCATCCCAAGGTTGCAGTTTTGAAATTTGCATATGGCCTCAAGTGCCATAAAACACATGTCACATGCTTCTGAAGTTCCTAGTTCACACGTTCTCATCATCCCACATGAAACCTTGAATATTCTGCACCATTTCAATTGGGATTAACAGAGATGCCAACAGAGTTAAAAAATGCCTGCTCTCTTTTTGGTAGTGGTGGATCCATATGCTGTACCGCAGGTATCTAGCAGTTCACTTAAAAAGGCCATTGGATTCAAAACAGAGGTATCCTACTGTGATGCATTGATGGTCCTGAAGTATTGGATAACATCAAAGGTTCCCTTCAGAGCAAGTATGAGCCAGATGTGCAAATTCTATACCTTCTTGTCAGAAGGTGTGGCAGACAGATTGACATTAAACGGGAGTTCATGTCATCTCCCTCTATATTTACACCACTGCAGCGTCCTCGGGCAAGTGAGGTTATTCCTGGATGGTTTTTGGCGCCAGAAGACCTCTATTGGCATGACCCAACAGGAGGTTCTGAAATAACAGAGAATTTCGTGGCAACGAAAAACAGAAACATGTTCCCAAGAAGAATGCTGTCTGCAGCCTATCCAAACCTTTGTGAATTATTTACTCTGACATGTGGTGTACCAAAGGCTCCAACAACATCAAATTATGTTGAGATGCTGCTACGGCTGTCAACCACTGTATTGCCTTCACAGGCAGCAAACCATGTCTTTTGTGTGTTTGTGAGATGGACTAAGTATCTGCAGTCTGAGAGTGACAAGACGAATGATATATTGTACTTGAAAAAATCTCTTCAGAAATTAGAAACAACAATATTGCCCATCTCAGCCGATAAATGGGTCTCTCTACATCCTTGTTTGCTGGGTAGATGATGATGAGTTGAAGCAACAGTTTATTAACTCTAGTGATGTTTAGTCCATACAATTTGGTGACCTTTCTTCTGAGGATAAGCAAATGCTGTATGGAAGAGTAGCTGCTTTGATGAAAAGCTTAGGCATCCAAGCACTTTCGGAGGTTGTGTATCGTGAAGCAATATTTTATGGTACATCAGAGAAGAGAGAAAAAGGTTTCCTTGATTTGTTGGCTTTTGCCATACATGCAACGGTACATCTATAAGATGCATAGAGATACTTATATCTACTTCCAGAAAAACGACATCATGAAGATTAGCAATCCGCAAGTAGTAGTTGTTGACAAGTTATTCCACAAGTATTGTCTTTTGCAGGGAGATAATCTATACGCAACACAAGATGCTGATTCACATTCATTATTTTTGGAGCTTTCTAGAATTTTCTTTGATGGGTCCCCTGATCTTCATGTTGCAAATTTTCTACACATGATCAAAACCATGGCAGAATCTAAGCACCCATGCTGAACAAATAGAGTCTTTTATCGTTAATAATCAGAATGTTTCTGAGTTACCTGAGCATGAAGCTGTCTGGTCCTTCTCTTCGTTGCCTGCAGCAGACCAAGGTTCAGCCAACCAAGGTGGTGCTGATACCCAGCAGGCCCGTACCTACGATTTGGAGGTACCTGAACGAAACGCGTGATGTGGCCCTAAAATTTATAAGAAAATAATATAACAAAAGCATACTTTTACTTCATTATAAAGCTTCAAATATACGTTGTTCTTACGGTACTTAGAACATATCAAATCTTGATGCTAAAACAATACAAAAAGTACTTAAGCAACAAACTGACCTTATGTTCAACTGAAAAGCATCATTCTCTTAGTATTCTTTGAAATGAAGTCTTCAATTATATCTTCATACTTGATCATCTCCAAAATATCATTTGCAAGTGCTATTGTTGCCAACCCATTGAGTCTTTCTTGTGTCATTGTACATCGCAAGTAGGACTTCAATAACTTGAGTTTAGAAAAGCTCCTTTCCGCAGATGCAACAGTAACAGGAATGGTTAACAAAATTCAGTATGCAATAATGGCGTTTGGGAAAGAACCATGCTGTTTCAAATATTTCAGAATATCAAGAGGGCCCATAGATCTGTCAATATGATCTTGGATGAACTTTAACTCCACATATAATTCTCTTCCATCAATATCTGAACGTTCACTCTTAAGTTTTACTTCTAGATTGACACAAGAAGAAAGCAATTTTCTATCATCCAAGAACTTAGTGTATTGTGTAAATTTGGAGGCCCTGTAATTTTGGAGGCCCTGAACAGTCGCACACTTTGCACCTGCTAATGTACGGGCCTGTACCCAGGGGGTTGATTTCCAACCTGTTCGTGAATTCAGTGCTCCCAATCATCAGAAGGCACCAGGAATGGTTTCAAGTTGGCCTCTTAGCCATTGGAGAACAGCACCCGTCTTCATAACACCTCTCATAAACCAGCATGCAAGAGGCAAAGGTGAATGATTCTGGACCTTTCATCAAACTTAAACATGCCTGCTATGTATGGACACACCGAAGATAGTTTGCTTTCTGTTGATCTTGAAGGGGATTGGATTATAGAAGAGAAACCAAGGTCTGAAACTACATTGCTTGGAGATAGTTCAGCGGAAATCCTTGATGAGCCTCGGACGGTGATGTCTGCTGAACCTTTCAATGCACATGCTTATTTGAACTTGGAGGCTGGAAGTTCAAGCCCAACGGTCCATGTTGAGCTAACAAATTTCGATGAGAATCTGGCCAATCTTGCAGAAGACAAGAATCAGCGGCCTTCAGATGCAAGCCAGTTAAGAACAGGGAGGCTTGGTACTGGTCGAGAAATGTTTTGCCAAACAGCTAGGTTCCAACAATGTTAGGTGGGTGAACAACAGAATTGTTATAACACACCCAGAGGGTTTCACAGAATATGTGGAGGTTAAAACAACTGTATTTAAGAAAGGATTGGTTTGACGTCTCAACAAGGGAATGGCAGTTTGCCTTGGAGAAAGGGGATTTATTTAGCATTGCTCGTGTCATGTTAGGTACAAAGAAAGCAAGTATAGAATTTATCAAAAAAAAGCAAGTATAGAAATGTTAAAAAAACACACACAGATTTATAAGAAGAAAGCATTGCGGCTTGGTCTCCTGATAAGATAACATATAATCTCGTCAGCAGCAACCTAGACCAAAATGTCAGTTTTGTTGAGGCTAGCACCGATGATCTTTCTGCAGATTGTTATGATTACTCTGACTAATATTAATCGAGATACAAGAAATGTCAAAATTGGAGAGTCCATCGTCGGAGACATGAGAGATACAAAGAGAGTATTCATTGAATAGCTCTTTAAATAAAGATATAGAGCCTCTTGGAGTTGCTCTTATATTAATTAAATGCCGGGTTTTCGGATCTTAAAAAAAAAGAATAGCTGTGTTCTGTGCACGTTAGATTGATCGATGCACCAGAATGGAAAATTAGAAACAATGCAATTGTCATAGAATCCAGTACAAGAGCAATACAATCAACATATCCACTTTCTGCAGGTTTAGCCACAGCTCACCTACGCTGTGCAGATAAACTTCTAGGTCATCCCTTTCGACTCTAGCTTAGAACCCTCACGGATCTGAGGTCTTAGAGCATAAGAAACCCACCAAACTTCCTTGGCAGCGACAGCATCTTGATAATCTGTCATCTGGTTTAGTGCCCTTCGTTGTTTTCCACAATCCTGTTTCATATTATTAGGCCTGTGGACATGTATTGTTCTTCTCCATCTCTCCTGCATCCATCCACAGAAAAGAAGAAAACATCATTATTACCAGTAGCTCAAACAACCAGTTAAAATGAAAGTTTCCACACTACTCCAAATAGTATGGCATGATGCACAGAAGGTTACTAGTAGTGTATATCACCAATATGCTTCTTCACGGCCACGTTCTTATAAAGGACATACGATCTTCTAGAACTTAGAAGCTTCAGTAAAAGAGATATAGCAGGAATGGGGGACACATACAAACAGTATTGAACATCATAAAAAATGTAAGGCAAATAACAAAACATGCATAAAAATCAGAATCTATTGCACTAATAAGATTACTAATCTCAGAAACTTCACTTACCACCTAACCCATCAGTTTGATTGTCAACATAAATCTTTACAAACAATTCTTTGAGGTCTTCACGTGCAGTCATTTCTTCCAAAACCCTATCATTGAACGTCAGTTCTGGAGGCAAGTTGCATTCTCCATGCTCCGGTTCTTTTGAAAAGAGCAATTTAGACATGTGCTCCTTCTTAGCTTGTCTGTCATATTTGCTCTTCTCTGTTGTTCCTTCTGCAATTAGATTGTATGTGTACACAATCTTTTCCTGACCAATTCTGTAAGCTCGGCCAATCGCTTGCCTTCCAACAGAGGGGTTCCACACAACATCAAGTAGAACCACACGTGATGCCCCGATAAGTGTAATACCCTCACAGCATGCCTTCGTTGATGCAAGCATTACCTTGGCCTTGCTTTTCATGTTATTGAAGACCTCCATCATGGTTTCGCGATTTTTAACAGGAACATTTCCACTCATTAGCAGGATCTCTTTGCCTTCAGCCCAATTGAACTTTTCTTTCAGCTGCTCCATGATCATGGACAATGGTCCAAGATATTGGCTGAACACTAGAACCCGTTCATTTAGCGCTTCACACAGACGGACAATCTCCAAAACAAACCTCGTCTTAACCCCTTCAGATGGAGAGGAACGTAAACTCTTTAGCTTAGGTATGTCCAAGATAGATTCCTCTTCTTCAGACAATTTTGCACTGGCAAGGAGGGAGGGATGTATTGATGCAATCGAGATTTTGTATTCCGCATCAAGACCCATCGTTGCCACAGCCTTCTCCATACTTGCGATGACTTCTTTCTGATAAGGAAGAGGGTTCAGAATCACAACGGATTCTCTCAGTCCTGAGAGAGACTTCTGAAGAAATTTGCCACTATGGATGTGCACAATAGGGTCCAATTTTTTCTCACTTCATTTATGTTTGCCTTTGTGATGTCATTCAGTCTTAATGAAGACCAGAAATCTTTGCCCTCGTCCGTCTCTAGATGCACTGTATCTGCATCCTTTGGCCTGACAAGGCGCAAGGTGTTATAGAGCTCCTCAAAGTTGTTTTGGAATAGAGTCCCCGATAGAATTATTCGCTTTTCAGTGCGGACCCTTTTAAGAACCTTCCAGATAAGACTCTTCTTGTTCCTTGGCGTGTGCCCTTCATCAAGGACAAGCAAGTCGGGTTTCTCAAGCAGCAGCTTCCTCACCTTATCCCCGTCCATGCCTTCATGATTAGCTAGCTTCCTAAAAAGCGAGTAGCTCAAACCGATTATGCTGGTTCCATTCATCCAGGACCCTAACTTCACCAATCGTCTATAATTTTGATCCATTTTATCTGTCAGTAGCCTTCGATGAAAAGTTCCATTCTTCGCAACCTGTTCTTGGATGGTCTTGTCTTCACTCCAGCTGATCTCAGTGGAATTCAGTACATGAAAAGGGAGCTTTACCTTCCATTTCCTGAACTCCTTCTCCCATGTCGCTAACATCCCCCTGGGAGCAATGATAACCGGGCTACAGTGTGGGAAAACCTCAAGGTAGGATTGAACAAATGTGATTGCTAGTCGCGTCTTTCCCGTCCCAGGTGCATGAGAAATCACACAACCACCTCCAACATCAGATTTTACGTTTTGCTTTAGCTGTTCAATTGTAGTACCTCCTGCCAGCTTCGTCCACAAGAACTCAAATGCATCCTGCTGGTGTGGGAACATAGTTTCCTTGACTCCAGGAATGAGATCCCAGACTGAACCAGCTTTGTGACCACCAAAATTGCATGGTAGTTCATGTCCATTTGATACCAGCACATCATTTTGTTCAAAAACATTGAGCATTTCCTTAAGCATCTTGTCCAACTCAGGGTCGATTGCTGATTCCCTTTCTGCAGAAAATTTCCCCTATTGGACGAGGAAAAAAATGAACTTATTAAAGGGGTTGGTGCTACCTAGCAAAGCATAATCATGTCTTACAGGAACATGTTCTATACTTGTATTGAACATTTGCTTACCAAAGCAGGCAGTACATGTCTGATTTCGAGATCGACAACATGACAATGCTTGCACCGAACTCCTATTTGTTCATCAATAATGAATTCATGCTGCCCATTATTGCAAAAAGTAACTTCCACTGGAGGAATTTCTTGCCCATCCTGAACACAGTAGTGTAAGCATTAGCTTTTTATTTGGATCTTAAATGTATTGGAGTAACTGAGTAAGAGAAAATGCATAATCCACAGAATCCATCAATGCAAGCATGCATTTTTCTGAGGGAATCCAAGCTCAAGACAACCACTCCAAACTAAATACAACATTCGTAAAATCAGAAACACCTTGATTAGAAACAAAGTATAAACTGAATGATATAACATAAGGTTAAATACCTCTTCACAGATGTTGGAACCAATATTCATGGATTCAAAAGCAATGTCGCATTCCCTCCACAGGTCTTCTTGATACTTGTCATTTTCTATATTCTCTTCTGCATCCTCATCTCCGAATGCGAACACCAAAGGCAAACTATTTCCAGCTGCTGCATGATCAGGATCATTTATATGATCCTCCCAGCCAGAAAACAAGGAATTAAGGAGTTCATCATATGCAGCTTTCGCTGCTGGACCGCGCTTCTTCATTCGAATCGTATGTGCCTTTCTTTTGAAGAGAATAGCATCCTGTTCATTGGACATGTTCATTGGGTTCTCGCCATTTGGACCATTGTATTTGGCATGCCCAGGATTTGAACCATCATACCTTCTGCAACCTTCCTTGCCAGCCTGAAGATTGATAGCCCTTTCTTCAGCCTCCGAAAAGGCCTATCTTTGGCGTCCCTAGCATATACTCTGTACTCCTCGTCACTACTGGTACTCGATCTCTTAAGCCGTCTGTTTTTTATTGCTCTTCTGCGCTTCCTTTTGCCAAAAGTTATGTTGTCTTCCTCACTTGATGACAGAAGTCCTTGTTGTGGCGCTGGTGGTTCATTATCCTCTTCAGAATCAGAAGTCGAGTCCGGAATATCAATATTGTAGGGTTTACTGAAAGTTCCACGTCTGAGCAGTTTTTTGTCCTTGCATTTTCGCTGTGATCGCGTCCGCCCTCCGATGCCCTTGCCAACAGTCTTGCGTGGCTTCTGAGGCAAATATATGCCCTCAAAAACCCTCCTCCTAAAGACTCGCGTGTCATCGCCTCCTGACCTCATACTGCTACCTGCAATGGTGTTGCTAGGCGTGAATGGCTGCGCCTTTCCTGTTCCATCCAGTTCCTGTTCGTCCTCCTCCCCTGTTTCATCCATTTCCTGCTCAATCTCTTCAGACGCGTCCTCTTCTTGTTCTCCTTCGCCATCGCAGATGCTAGTGCTTTCTTCTTGATTGCCACCTTCCTCCTCTTCCGACAATTCCTTTTCCCCCACCTCCTCCTCACTATCAATCAAAGCATGGCTATCCTGCCTGCTCCTTCCCTCCAAAGCCTCGTCCTGCCCACTCTCTTGCCTGCCATTGCCAGCCCCATTGTTGTTGTCGTCGTCATCATCATCTACCTCCATGGACTCCACATCTTCCCCATCGTTGTCATCATCATCATCATCATCTACCTCCATGGACTCCACATCTTCCACTCTCTTCTTCTTCTGCTCCTGCACTTCGTCCTCCCCTGTATCCTCGGACGACACTCGAGCAGAGTACTGCACTGTGCCCTGCTTCCGCGACCTTGACCGGATCCGCGACCCAATGCTGGTGCCTATCCAGTTCGCAGGTGCCACACTAGTGCTCCTCTCCCTTCTCGCACCTCCTCCACTCCTCGCCTTTCCCGGTGCACCCCTGGATTCTTCGCTGGACACGAGGGCCTTCTTGGCCGAACCCGGCCGATCACCCACGCCTCTGCTTGCTTCTCTACTATTCACATCCCTAGAGCTCCTGGCGTCGTCGGCCATCCACGCCGTGGCCGTGCGATGCCCAGCCCCTGAAGCGCTCGAATTCCGGTCCAACGAGTGAATTCCGGTCCATCCGTCTCGCAGTGCCTCAACAATTATAATTAGGTTAATAAAATCAACCAACTAATCGATCCGGCAGCCGCGACGGCCTACCGAACCAAATAAATCAAACTAGTACTACTACTACTCCGGCCGACCAGGCTCAGCAGCAGCGTTGCCGGCGCCTCCGCCTTGCAGTGCCTCCGTATGGCCTCGTACGAGTAGGACCCGCCGCCCGCGGGGTTGTTGCCCGCTGTTGTTCGTGCCCGCCGCGGCGTCTGAGGAGCTGGAAGCCCCTGCCGCGGCCGCGGCCTGTCTTCTTGAAGTCGATGAGGCCGCCGTCGGCGTACGGCGAGTCGATGAGCCATCCCCACCGTGGACGTGCAGTCTTGCCGACCCCGGCGACGTCGAGGAGGCCGGCAAGCTCCGGTCGGTGCTCGGGAGGCTCCTGCACGAGTACGCCCTGGGGCAGCGAGCACGCCGAGCAGGTGGCGAAGCGCGTGCTCATGGCCATGGCGCGGCTGCTGGGGTTCGGCGAGGGGTTCTTCCTCGACTGAGTCGGCGAGAAGGGCGGCACGCCGGCACGTACGCACGGTTCACCTAGTCGCGGCAGGATCCGCGCAAGCGCAACTGCGCGTATCTTTACGCGCAAAGGACTCAGTTTTTAGAAGTGCTAAAAGATTAGTAGTTGGTTTTAGAAACCGTTGGACACCTGTTTTTCTTAATTTTGCTAAAATTCTAGATTAGAAGAGTGTTTTAGAAACCCTTGGAGATGCTCAGCACACTAACTCATGCAGACTTCCTATTTTTACTAACCTCAATCGTTACCAGATAGTAAACACTTCACATACTTCTTGTTCATACAAATACTTTGCACTTTAAACCTATGCATTCATAAATTAAATTGTTTGATCCTTCCCATTTACTAACACTTTTGATTAATTAAATTTGAATAAGAATAGTATATTAGTTCAATGGGTCATGTTGACCCATTATGAGAAATAATCCAAGATTCTAGTATTGTGCGCCCTATCTGGGACCTATGGTCTTTGCCCATTACTTTCTTTAATTCGAATTATCTGTTGTGTAGTGTCTACTGTATCAGAAAAACAGACATGAATTACTGTATTTGAAACACATGCATTTTTTATTATTGATTGTCAGTTGTGTCATATTTTCAGCTTCCATCTAGCGAACTTCATGTCTGAATCTAGAATCCAACATGGAACACTGCTCATTTTAACTGCCGCACGATTTGATCCCCTGAATAAAGAATCAATTAAAACTAGCTGTTGTCTTCTGGACGCTTATTGTAAGCAAGCTTCCAGGAATATTTATTTATGCTTTCATGGGCAAAAAAGGGAATTCTGCCCTTGCATATCTTGGTCATCGTGGTTGGAAGCTGATTAGCACCTCAGTTTCTTGAACACTGAGATTTAAACCTATGTCTGCAATGAGGATATAAAAAAGGGAATTCTGCCCTTGTATATCTTTGTCATCATGGTTGGAAGCTGATTAGCACCTCAGTTTCTTGAACATTGAGATTTAAACCTATGTCTGCAAAATCTGAAGTTCCTGAAGCTAAACCCAATGTATGCTGTAATCTGACCCGAGTCCATTACCTCCAACATTATCTGCTTTTAGCTGTTTCCTAAGCTTACCTTAGATTTTGGAAGCTAAGCACTTTTCTGCAAGGATCCAGTTGTGTTCCATCACATCGATTTTACTGATGTCTGATGAAGAACCATAGTAATGGTAACATTAGCTGCTACGTTTCGTCAGTACTGATTCTGAACTAGATGAGTTTGGTAGCATCTCTGAAGTCAATAACTGGTAACAATGATATATGTGCCAGTAGAGAACTGATTTTAAGGTATAGCAAATTGGTAATAGCCATAATACCTTCTGCTGGTTTATCGTACACATCACAGGCACCGGAGTAATTTGCACTGGCGTCAGCCAGGGAAAGGTAAGCATCAGTTGCATACCAGGGTCATGATACAGGTCTTATGCCCAAACTGAAGCTCATATTTCTGTTTCTCACACCTATATTAGTATTGAAACACTCCGCATAAGGACACTTACGAACTATGACAGTCGACAAGAAGCGCGCTTGATAACACCATGGATGCACTGTATTACATCGCGCATAGCTACAGTACATGTAAATTTCTGCGTTCTGTAGACAACATATTTTCTGTCATTGCTAGTTGCAGGTTGCAAACAAGGACGGGCAGCTTCATTTGTTGCCGCCACCGTCCTTGTGTGCTGGTGCCGACCTCCCGCCGCGGAAATGGCCACGCTTGCTCCAGCCTCCACCGCTGAAGAGCCCCTTGCCCTTATACCCAGCCCCACCTCCGTCGCCACTCCCGCCAGATACACCATGAAGTTCATCACCATCTCCGGCGCCAGCACCGGAGCTGCCGTATCCACCACCAGAGCCGTCACCGCCACCATATCCTCCACCGCCGTTCCCATCTTCTCCAGCATGCTGACCACCACCGAACCCACCAGCGTCTCCACTGCCGAAGCCACCCCGTTGCCACCACCGTTGCCGCCTCCAAAGCCCACCGCCACCGCCGCTGCCAAAGCCACCCCCGCTGCCACCACCGTAGCTGCCAGAACCGCCTCCTCCAAAGCCGCCATGATGGCCTTTATACCCGCCAATGCCAAAACCAAACGCCTTTCCACTCCCTCCACCTCCGCCACCGCCACCGCCACCTCCTCCACCACCACCACCTTCGCCTCCACTTCCACCATAACCAAATCCGAACCCTCCTCCCTTGCCATCAGGCCCCGCAGCCCAGCTCCATCCATACTCCCATGAACCACCGCCAGGGCTCGACCCATGCGCGGACCCCGAGTCACCGGTCCACCCGGGCGGCAGCGTCTGCCCCGTCGTCTCGGGCTCTGCCACTGCCGGGCCTCCGCCCTCCTTCTCCCCGTCGTCGACGCCCGCGCACTGCACGAGCGCGAACGCGGAGACGAGGAGGGCGAGAGCAAGCACCAGTGCCCGCTCTCTCCGTTGCTCACGACTCGTCCCCATCGTCGCTTGCACGCCACTCCCTTCAACAAAGCTACGGCGAGCCTACGAAGACTCGCGCGTGCGCTAGCTCTTGCTTTCTACCAGGTCCAGGACTCGTGTTTGGGCTCGAAAGCTTCAAGTCGGCTTGCGATTTGTTGCCGCCGAATGGATGTCCCGTGGCCGGCCTATTTATAGCGGCCATGCCATGCGTTGGTAAAGTGGTAATGGATGGGTGAAAAAAAATCTGTCCACGAGATCTCGCGCACCACCACCGGCCCATTCTGAAGCGATCTGCTTGACTGCTACCGCTGCTGCGTGCATGCTTTTGGCATCCGCTTTGCCGCATCGTGCATGCTCTCTCTGTGCTGGCTTGCTTTGCGCCGGCCGGTCGCCGTAATTGCTAAAATTTGTAACGAAAGTAGCTTTCAGGCTTATCTCCTCCGTGACCGCACTGGAATTGCATGAAAGCGAAGCATTGTTCGTTTATCCGATGGGAGTATTTTATCTTCGCTGTGCGTGCTGGTGCTGGTTGCCAAGAGTCCCCGAGTCCCGTGAGCCCGTGACCTGAAGAATCTGGTAGCTGTTGTCCGTTGGCTAGTGTCGACATATGCTTTGCCGAAGTCGGCGAAAAAATTGATGCGCGAGACACTGTGCAGGTTGCTTGGCTTTGTTCGTCCGTTCCAGAAGTGGGGCTCTGTGGGAGCGACACTGCCAAGCGTCTAGGCATCTACCAAGTAGCATGGCCGGGAGGCGCGCGCGTTGCATTCCCGTTTGATGGGGAAGCCAGTATGCTAATACTTTGAAAAGTTTGAAGAAAAAAAAACTATTTCTAGGAGCAGTTCAATTGATATTGTCAACCGTCCGTCCGTCTTTACAAATCATTTTTTATGAACGGTTATATTTTCGACCGTGAATGGAAATCGATTTCTAGGGACTGTCACATAAAACCATAACCAGAATACATGATTTCTAGACTCTTGGACCACCCCTTATAATTGATTCTGTACTAATGGTTATGATTGTTTAGTTCTTGATATGTCGATCTATATTATTTCTGGTTTTTTTTACTGATCATTCATTACCGCACCACCAAGTATGCTACTCTAGGTTTAGAATGACGATGTATCTTCTATTCTTGTTTTCATGAAATGTAGTGTAAGATAGCAGAGGAATTCGGGAAGAGGAAAACGGCAGGGGGATCTGGTTGAATAGGACTATAGGACTATAGGAGTAGTAGAGAGGAAGGATTACAAGTAGTTTGTTCTTTTAAAACTTAATTCATCTCAGATTGGTTATTGCAACTCGCCTCTTATACGGTAACCTCTGGTGCTAATTCCCGCAGATCGAGCCGCTTCACGCGTACGCGCCATTCAGGCTTGCTAGCACCTGGTCGTACGGACGGGGCGTTTGGATGTCCGCGCCTGCGGTCCATTTCCTGCACCGTTTTACATGTCCACGTGGGGTCCACGTCGTTCTAAACGTCACCAGCATCGAGAAGAGAGGGAGGGGGCGGCGGATGCCCAGACGGCGTCGGGAGGAGGAGACACCAGGACAAGGAGGGAGATGAAACAGTCTACTTTTGAAATATTCAGATGCAACCGTTACAATATATATCTGAATGCAGATGAAACACTTGAAACGTACATTTGAAACACTTGCAAAAACACCTGAAAAACATTGTAAAACATACACAACATCCAGATAAAATACTTGCAACATATGTAACATCCAAATAAATACACTTGCAATATACGTCTAGAAAAACAGATGAAACATTAGCAACATAAGCCTGCAACACACGTGTACAACCATTGCAACATATGCAACATCACGTTCTACTTTTGCAACATTTGTATGAAACAATTGCAACATACATCTAAAACATTTGAAACATACACTTGCAACATGCGTTTTTCACCCTTCTTCTTCCGTACAACGCAGCGCACAGTGGGCGATGGGCAGGCGGAGGGCAAGCAGAACGGAGGTGCCGCAGGGGATGTCGCGGGATGAAGGTACCGTGAGGAGTGAGACGAGCAGACGACTACATGTGGGGTTTTTTTTAGAGAGAGAGCACGTCTGATGTCCTCGTCCTATCATTATCACCAGGGTTTAAAATTTCGGCGAAATTTCGGCCGAATTTTACGAAATTCGGTAATTTCGGTGGTGGCCGAAAGAAAACTCCAAAAAAATTTAATACACTAATACCTGTGCTATATAACTCTAATCTTATATTTTTCTATTGTTTATATTGCATATTCTTCTATTTAATAGATATGTAGTCATAAATCATACTAATATTTGTTTAGATCCAATTTTTTTAGAAAAAACATACTTCATGTGCTAATCTCTAAAAAAAAATTGGCGAAATTTTGGCCAAATTTCCGTAATTTTGGTGGTGGCCGAAATTTTGGCGATACCGAAATTAAAAACCTTGATTATCACGCGCCATTGGCACGCACGCTGGGACGCCTGGGCCGAGTGCTGCGTCT